CTGGGGAGATTACAACTCCATTTGTAAAATCTGAAGATCAGCTTGTAGATATATTTACCAAAGCATTGAGTCATACACGTCTTACAGCGATTTGTTCCAAACTTGGATTATATGATATATATATATATATATATATATATAGTCCAGGTTGAGAAGGAGTGTTAAGAATATTAGGGTAGTATGTGTAAATTGTTAATAATAAGAGGGTGTATGTATAATTCTTATTATTATGAGTTAACTATAAATACAAGTGATGTATGAGAGCTAGGTTAAGTTTTTAACCTTTCTTTTTCTCTAATATTGTCTCTAATATTGTGTTATGTTAATTCACTCAACTTAACAATTTTGCTGCCCAGAAAGGGTACAAATGCTATTATTCACAGTCTCAGAAGATATATGTTAGCATGAATGTAAATTTTCGGAAATCTGAGTCTTTTTTTTTCTATTTCAAAGGGGAGAATACTACAATTGAGGAACAAATTGCATGTCAGGAGCCTTTTTTTCAATTATCTATATGGGATATTAGTTTGGGGGAACAACAATCTATTGAGGGAAAAGGTGACATCAGTGATCTCTTTGGTGCTTGCCTTGACAAGGATAATCTGAAGACTTACTCTCGATGTCAAAAGGTACAGACTACCAATGTGCCACCAAGTCAGTTACTTTCCCTAGCTCCAATTCATGCATCTTCAATGGATTTATCAGGTAATGAACATCCCACTATTACTCCAACCATTGATAATCCAACTGTTGATGATTCTAAGCTTCCTATTACAGTCAGGAAGGGTGTTAGAACTTATACTTAACATCCCATCTCATTTCTACCTTTGTATCTTATAATTCCTTATCATCATCCTATCGTGCCTTTGTTTCCTTATTGTTTTCTATATGTATTCCAAAGGGTTGGAAATAAGCTCTCACCAATCCTAAGTGGAAAGAAACTATTGTAGAGGAAAGAAGCTATTGTAGAGAAATAAAAGCCTTAAGAATCAACAAGACATGGGAGTTGGTCTCCCTTCCAACTTAGGGCAAACGTAGTTGGATGCAAATGGGTGTTCACGGTCAAGCAACAAGCTGATGGAACAGTTGAGAGGTACAAAGCTCAACTGATTGCTAAGGGATTCACTTAGACTTATGATATTGATTATAGGAGACCTTTGCTCCTGTGGCAAAAATGAACTCCATACATGCTTTTCTCTCTTGTGCATCTATACTGAGCTAGAGTTTGTAGTAGTTGGATGTGAAGAATGCCTTTTTTATGGAGGTTCGGAGGAGAAAATGGAGGCCCCACCAGGTTTTTCATCTTAGTTAATGGAAAGAAAGGTGCGTAAGTTAAATAATTCTTTTTATGGGCTGAAACAGTCTCCCAGAGCTTGGTTTGATAGGTTTCTCAAAGTTATGCTAAAATTTGGTTATAAGTAGAGCCAAGCTGATCATACTATGTTCATCAAACATATTGATAATAAGATAACCGTTCTCATTGTTTATGTGGATGATATAGTGATAAGAAGTAATGATGCGCATGAAGTCACCAAATAAAAAGCTCAATTAATTAAGGAGTTTGAGATCAAGGACTTGAGTCATTTGAGATACTTTTCAGGGATTGAGCTTGCCAGTCAAATAAAAATATTTTTATCTCTCAAATAAAATATATTGTTGATCTTCTTGGAGAAACATGAATGTTGGATTATAGACCCGCACATTTGTGCCCACCCAAAACTCAAGATAAAAATGTTAGACTCACACTATTTACCTAAAATAATTAAAAAATTAAGTACATTTAAAAAAAAAATATGAGCCCACCACTATCCACCCAAATTTATTAAAAAATCAAAGGTTTGACTTATCACAATCCACCCAAACCTATTAAAATAACTTTTGCTCCCCCCTCAATTTTTTTTTCTTCTTATTAAGCATGTATTTTTTGAAATAAAATTTAGACATTTAATTGTATCCATCCTAATATTGTGTTCTGGTAATATTGATTTGAATAGACCCCTACCTAAATAATTGTTAACTTTTTAAACAATGGTATTGAAACTTAATTTAAGAACCTAATACATTGCGATATTAAGTATAATAGTGAGTCTTAATATTTAATAAACTCTACTATCTATCTAATGGTCACAAACCATTGGGGCTTCATCAATTAAATCTCAAATTAGATACAACTAATATCAATACTAACTTTTATACATGTCCGAATATGTTTTGAATATATTGATATTATTTTATAATTTTTTAAAATTGTAGGATTATTTCATTATTGTATAAAAATGTGTCGTTATGTAGTAAACTATATGATCCTAAATGAAAAATTATTACTGCGATTTTATATATAAAATAAATATTATTGATAAAATTAATTTGTAACTCTTTCAAATAATAAACATATATCAGGATCAATTATAAGTAAAAATAATTAGTTGCATTCTCGATAAGAAGTTTTAATTATTATTTTTTTTATTCATGTTATGTATATCTATTTTTAATTTTTTATGTTTAAAAAGTATTAAATATAATTTTAATAAATATAAATTTATGAACTTTTACGGTCTCTTAAAAAAAATAATTAAAATATATTAGTGTGCCAACCCTATTTTTTTTTTCTGGCTCCGCCCTTGCTCTCACACACGATTAGATATTGGATATGCAATGAGTGTTGTCAGTCAATTTATGCATGATCTTTGAAGCTCTCATCTTGAAACAATTTATCTTATTTTGAAATATTTGTGCATGCAATCCTAGTAGTTGGGGATGTCAACTGCATGACTAAGTTGACCAAAGCTGGGCGTTTTCGACATTGCATAGGCATTTGGGCTTTATAACCGCTATTATATGCTACTTATATGCATGCTGGGATCTACAGTGAACCAAGAGAGTTGAGTACATTTTGTAAGCAAACCCCTAGCCAAAATCCTTTAAACTTGTCAAGAAGTAAGAAGGTTTGTCCATTTGGCCAATAATCTTGTGTTCTTGTTGTGAGTTTGATTCTTGCCCATATTATGCTCGACAACGTGCTTCAGTGAGCGATTGTGTGAGTTGACTAAGACTGAGTGTTGGATTTTAGTGTCATCATATGACAAAAATTCGAGTGAACTTGTACTCCAGTCATAGTCACTTGAACGAATACTGATGCGGATTGGGCAAGTTTAGTGGATGACAGACGATCTACTTTACGTTATTGCAGCTTGATAGGAGGGAACTTTGTTACTTAGCGAAGCAAAAAACAAGGCGTGGTAACTAGATTTAGTGCAGAAGCTGAATACGAGACAATGAGTGCAGAAGCTGAATACGAGACAATGACCTATGGAATTTGTGAGCTTATGTGGCTCCAAATCTTACCGTGACAATAAGGTTGCTATCAATATTGCTCATAATCTAGTACAACAAGATAAAACGAAACATGTTGAAATTGACCGGCACTTCATCAAAGAAAAGTTGAATTAGGGTTTGATTTGCATGCCTTTTGTGAAATCAGAAGACTAGCTTGTTGATATTCTCACTAAAGGGCTGAATGGCTAGGTTCTTCACCCTATTGTCTGCAAGTTGAAAAAGAGAGATATTTATGTACCAACTTGAAGGGAAATGTTATGTTATGCTTTACATTTAGGTTGAGGGTATTATTATGGTACTTTGTAGTTTATATATAAGCTAGGGATTAGTTGTGTGATTAACACACAACCCTACACAATTATCTGATCTCTCTCTTCTTTATTCTTTCTTTTTCCACTACTCTAAAGCCTAAAATTTCATAATGTAACTGTTTTCGACATATATCTCTTAAACTGGATGATTAATTCTACAAGACAATCATTAGAGCTGATGTGCTTTCTGATACAAGATCTAGACCAACTAAGGAACAATATACCAACTTGCTCAAATATATTTTTTTTTTTTAAAAAGAGAGAAATTATATTGAATAATTCTCACAATTACAAGAAACAGAAAACAGAAAACAGAAAATACTGTTCCAGTAAAACAGATTTTCTGTTTTATAACAGAAATTCTGTTACAAAAAATCCAGACAAAAACCGTTTTAACTTCCTCCTGTACAACTGCTGCATTTTTCTGAACCTGCTGGAAAGAACTTGCTCAAATATCAACTATTGATGAAATTGCAAATGTGAAGATGAATTCGTGGTTAAACCAAAAGCGGCAATGCGAGAGGCAGATGCAGATCAAATTTAACTGTAAATGAGATACTTAAAAAATACATGAACTTGTGATTTAATAAAAAATAGAGCCTCTAATAGAGCTCAGTTGTTGACCAGGATTCATGTAGCCAAGCCCAAATAGCTGGGAAAAGGCTTTGTAGAGTTGAGTTGTGGATAATCCAATGACACAGGAAGATTCATCTGGGGAACTCCAAACGGCAAGGAGGGGCAATTGTGCTGTATGAAAGCCTTAAAGCATTTGCAGTGGGAATGTCAGATGGAAATGATAAATCATTTTATGTCACCAATACCACTGCCAAAGCTCTATAATGTCCTGAATTCCATTTTCATCACAGGCTGTTGAAACACAGGAATGAACCACCTAAGCAGAGCTAGAAAAGATGGAAGTGATACGTCATAACTTTTGACAAATATATGCTAGATTATATTAACAAAGTAATATTTTCATTTTTCAATTACCAGGGATCAGAAAAATGAGTTATGTTATTGATGGGAAACATGTTGGAAATTTATACCCAAAATGTGGAGCAAAGCATGGTTTTGAAAACAGGGAAATTCCTCTTTGTTCGTTCCTGACCATTCAGATTAATACCAAAACACCCTCAATTGTGTTTGTGTTCATTTACGGTATAATGCTACATGACCTTATGCTGTATTTGTACGATAAATTCCGAATCACCTTTTGCCTTATCTTGCCTTGCTTTTCAACTAAGCTAAAAAAATAATTTTAGCTGCTTTTCAATTTTTTTACTCCAGCTTATAAGATACCAACAACAGATTTTGAGTTCAATAGTGGAAGGAAAACAGAGAAAAATTTAATTGTTAGATTTGTAGTATGTTGCACCTTGCATCCGTAGCAGCATAAAACATATACTGAAGCAAGGTTTTTGCACCTCCCAATGAACGTAATAAGTTCCAATGTCCACCAGCAGTGAAACCACGCTCCCGCTCTTCTTTCTCTGAAAGCTGCAAAGCCATTGCAACTATGGCATTTGAGGAGGTGGTCAGCATGTTTACGGGTGAAACAACTCTAGCTGATCTTGCATTTGGTGACATAGAGGACACTCTACCGATTGGGGAGCACAAAAATGAAGAATAAACATCATCAATCAATTGAAGCAGCAAATAATATGTCTACTATAAAACATTTGATCATATCATTTCCATTAGGTTATAACGTACCCAAGAAAAAGAATTAGATACTCAACTATTGTTTTTAACTCGGAAAAAAGATAATACCTAAAATTTTCACTCTTCCCTTGTGGGGGACTAAGACCATCTGAAGAAAACTGATCAACTTGTTTCACTAAGGGTAACTCCTCTGCAAATGCAGTTTGTCTGAAAAATAGCAATGAATAAATAGATAAGTGCATCGAAAAGAGGTGAAAGTTACCGAGTACGATGGAACATAAAACATCTGAAGTAGTGACTACATACACTTGGCTTTGCTTCTCATATTCAAAACGAGCTGCATGTGCATTCACCATTGCTTCTAGCTCCAGGTCAATCCACCGTTGCAAAGTTTTTTCATTTCTCTATGGAAGTATTTGAGGTTAATAATTCTCCAAAATTATAATGACATCAGATATTGTTACTTGTACGAAAATACTGATTGCAGATGTAAAATTAGGTTTGGCATTGGTCAGCTACTGTCCACCTTGAAAGCTGCCACAGCTATTTATAATTGATAATTTATTCCTTAATGGTAGTCCTAAATTAATCTGCCAACCCAACTACACAATACAAGAGTGCAATTTCTGTGTTAAAGAGAAGGACTTGGCTTCAGGGTTGGATAGTTGGGGGACATTGTAATCCATTGATAGTTGAAATTGGAAATTTGCAACTGATTTTGATGGCTCCAGGTTAACATATTACAGAAAAAGAGAAAGAAAGTTTGGATAATTTACCTGCACATTTAGTGTATTTCCGTGGAATGACCTGAAGAAAAATAATATTATATTAGGAAACAGAAGCATGCCATAAAAGAGAGTTTCCAAGAAAAGTACTTGTACTGACCCCGGTTGTCAAGTGCTGCACACTTATGGACTCCTATCAGTTCTTTTAGCCTCTTAGTAGCTATTGCAGCTTCTGTTTTTCTTTGAAGAACCTGCATTACAGAAAACACAACTACATACCCTTTTGTTTATAGGAACTTATTTAAAAACGATAGGTGGACTTGGAAAATTTTTGGCCATGGCTAATCTGTTTGTAGAACTTCTTAGTTGGGGAAGGCCAATCTGAAAAAATGTAATATGTTCATTCGGGTGGACCTAGAACATTTTCGGCCAGGGACAAAACTGTTTACAGAATCTTTTGATGGGGCAAGGGCAGTCAAAAAACATGATAATCTAGGGACAGAAAAGGGATGGGGATAGCTTGTCTATGAGGGCAAATTGACTTTGATAACCATCTTCTTCCCCCTTAGTGCCAGACTCGGCTGGTTCTAAGTGAAAACAGCAAGGTCCTTGATTGGGTTAAAAAAATTGTAGGCGGTAGGAAGAGGTTTGTTCCGTGACATCTTACCAATTAGGTTTGTGTCGCATGAACCGTCTAACTGGGCAGAATTTGTAATGGTAACTCAGGTCCAGAACAGCAAGAGACTTATGTGGTTATTTTTTACAAGGAGGCTATGAGGGGTGAACTGCAAGGAGGCCTAACCATGAGAGATAAAGTGAAGTTTCCCTAATTATAATTAACTTTCTTGTGAAAAAGCTACAAATCAAAGAGGTTTCTGAAAATTTTAAGAGTAAACAGGGGTCTTCCTAGCCCAACCAATGTTCACCCTAGCATATGAATAAGCAAGAAGATGTGACAATGTTCTTTGAAAAGAAGATATTTTCAGTTGCAATATATATCAATGAGGCAAGTGCACCCCATTTTGTGTCAAAGATGTAGGTAAACTTTTTCTCTAAGTTGACGTTGCAATTTTGAACATAAGCTAGACAGGACATCTTTATAGAAGTGGTTATGGTCCTTGTCGGAAACATAGATCAGAGTCCCATGAAAAAATGTGCTTTACAAGCAATGTAAAATCTTTTACCATTTTCTGGAATTGATTCAGAGCTTGCAGTTTATGCCGTTCATGCTCATTTCTCCTGCCCTCCTTCCTTAGCTGCTTGGAAAATAAAAATAGAAATATTCACAATACAATTAGCTCACATAAAAACTTAAAGCAGCAACACTTTCCAACAAACAGAAGTGGTAAAGAAATATGAAGTCATTAAACCATCACAGGTTCACAGCCAAGCAAGTAAACTAGGCTACATAACAATGGTTTCCAATGGCAAGGACCAAGGTCTCATCAGATATTCATCATCACGTAGGGGAGTGTTGGAGAGAGTAGAGAACTGTATCCACTGCATTCAGTTAGAACTGTTCAAATGTCAAAAGTACCTGCAGCAGTTCCTTTTCACGAGATGCCTTCCATTGCCGAAAACATTCTGCCTCTTGCTTTATCTTCTGCTGTATTTGACCCTACAAAGAAAAGAAAAAATAAGCTGTACACATTACCAGAAATATAACAAATTACCGCTGCATTATATTGCAGATTTTATATTTGAACCGGAATGGGAATTAACCTTCTGCGCCTTAATACACTGTTTCCCATCTTGCAACCGCTTTGCAGCTTCATCACTTCTTTGTTTTTGCTTTAGTGGAGCCACCTGACTTTCTTGTTTCTTCTTAAGATTTAACATCTAAAGTGATGAAAAAATCAAACATTCAAACAAGAACAAGGGGTTGCGAGAGCACAATGACATTACAAGAACAAGGGACCGCGAGAGCACAATGGCCATCATATATTCAAATGTACAGTACACCAGTTTTTCTTCAATAAATTCTAGAGAGAGAGAGAAGTATGAGGGAATTGAGGGCTATATTCCCATAAAAAGATCATTGGCCAACGGTGTACATGTACAATAGGCATTAAATTCTGAGTGAAAGACATGCAAATGAGATATGACAAAAATACGATACACCCTAAAGCAACAATTCGGTTATCATAGGATGTGCTAGAAAGACGAATGTGATTCATAAAGATCTTACCACACCAGCATTTAGCCAGCCCATGGGATGCAGGACCCAACCCACAAGAGCCGTACACCAGGGGACCCAACTAAAGACATCCGGCTCTTTCTAAGTGATCTCCTGGCCATCCCCGTCTGTCCCTTTCCCTTGGGGATGCTAATTTTTAGGTTAAAACTAATTGATATCTCGTCTTTCAGCTAGCCATTAAAGAGTGCTCTCCATGGTTTTTACCTTCCAAGTGCAAGCTCTTTTAGCATTTCTAGTTAAATGATATAAGAGTTTGTTTGTAATGACTAATGAATGTGTGCCTATGTTTTCGGGGGAGAGTGGTGGGTAGCAGGATTTTTAAAATCGCGATCCTAACCAGGATCAATTGGGAAGGATATAAGATTAGAATCATAGGATCGGATCGAGAATCGTAAGATCCTACAAATTGAAAAGACGAGACATAAAATATATGCAAGGCTAGTATACATGCATATCGAAGTATTATAAAAAACATGAACCTAAGGATATGATTAGAATTTGAGAAACTATAGTATGAGCATTGGCGATGGTTACAAATCAAAGAAAGACTATTAATCTTGTAGGATGTTGTGAGGAGTAGGAGAATGAAAATATTTTGATCTTAACTTTTATATAGAGAGAGAGACAAACATAGAGAAGAGATTGAAAAGTTTAGAGACTGTTGTGTAAATAACTTTTATGGTTCGATATCTAAACAAAAAATATAGCAGAAAGTGAAAATGGAAGACTATTTGGCAATTATCACTTGTGAGATCAAACTTGACGGCAGTTTTTAAATTTTCAACGGAAGAGATTGTTAAGTGTAGAGGATTAACACCATAATAGAGAGAAACAAAGAGAGGTTAAAACTTAACCTAACTCTCATACATCACTTGTATTTATAGTTATTTTACAATAATAAAAATTATACATATACCCTCTTACTATTAACAATTTACACATACTACCCTAATATTCTTAATGCTCCCCCTCAAGCTGGACTATATATATATCATACAATCCAAACTTAGAACAAATCGTTGTAAGACGTGTACGATTCAATGCTTTGGTAAACATATCTGCAAGCTAATCTTTAGATTTCACAAATGGAGTTATAATCTCCCCAGCTACTATCTTGTCTCGAATAAAGTGACAATTAACCTCAATATGTTTGATTCTCTCGTGAAACACCAGATTGACAGTGATATGGATAGCTACTTAGTTGTCACAGAACAACTGTAAAGGAAGTTGAACTAAAAATTTAATTTTCTAGAGGAAGTGTAGTAGTCAAGTCAACTCACTTGTCGTATGCATCATTACCCTATACTCAGCCTCAGCACTGAATCTTGCTACCACGGATTGTTTCTTACTTTTCCATGAGACAACATTACCTCTTAAGAATGTACAATAACCAGTGGTTGATCTCCGATCAGAAAGAGAGTCAGCCCAATCAGCATCCAAGAAACCTACCACTCTAAGATATCAATTAGCTCGATAACACAATCCAAGTCCATGAGCATGTTTGAGATATCACAGAATACGAATGTGGTACTCTAGGACACTCCATGAACTGACTTACTATACTGATTACATATAAAATATCTGGTCGAGTAATAGTGAGATAATTGAACTTCCCAACCAATCTGCGATACCCGAATTCTCAAACAGTGCACCATCATTCATTAAAAGCTTCTGATTCGGATCCATAGGAATATCAATAGGTCTGCTACCCAGCAAACCTGCTTTCTCCAGCATATCAAGTACATATTTCCTCTGAGATAAATAAATACCCTGTTTAGATCGAGCCACCTCAATACCCAAGAAATATCTGAGTTTTCTCAAATCCTTAGTATAAAATCGATCCTGCAAGAATATTTTTAACTTAGCAATCGCCTCAGAATCATTTTCAGTAATCATAATATCATCTAGATAGACCACCAATAAAACATATTCAGCATCTGTATGTCTATGAAACACAAAATGATCTAACTGACATCGAAGAAGACCAAACTCTAAAACTGCATCTAAAAACTTACCAAACCATGCCCTCGGTGACTGCTTCAAACCATACAAATATTTCTTCAACCGACATACATTCTTATCATACTCCCCCTGAGCAGTAAACTTAGGTGACTGCTCCATGTATACCTCTTCAACCAAGTCACCATGTAGGAAGACATTTTTGACATCTAACTGAAACAAGGGCCAATCAAGATTAGCAGCCAAAGAAATCAGGATACAAATAGAGAAAATTTTGGCAACAGGAGAGAAAGTCTCCTCATAATCAACACCATAAGTCTGAGTAAAACCCTTTGCAATAAGCCGAATTTTGAGACATTCTACAGAACCATCCGGATGAAATTTAACAGTATACACCCAACGACAACCAACAATTCGTTTACCGGGAGGTAAAGGATCGGGATCCCAAGTCCCATTATGATGTAAGACATCCATCACCTCCCCCATAGCTTTCCTCCAACCTGAATTAGATAAGGCATCTTGTAAATGCATAGAAATAGATATAGTTGATAACTGAGAGGTAAAACAAGAGAATGCAGGAAACAAGGCATCATATGAAACAAAATGAGCAATAGGGTGGTTAGGAACACATGAATGAGTACCTTTTCGAAGAGCAATAGGTAAAGAACCAGGATCAGAGGAGTCTAAATTACCTGATGTACCAAGATTAGAAGGCGGCAAGGAAGACAGCACGGGCACCTTAGTCGATGGGCGAGGACAACGAGTGTATACATGAAGAGGTAAACTAGATGGTAACACAGTGAGCAATCGAATATCTGAAGATAGTGGTACAAGAGATGACCTAAAGTCTAGATCCAAAGGCTAAGTAGGTGCTGAAAAATATGGAACAGATTCTTTAAATGTGACGTTAGCACTAGTAAAGTATCATCGTAGAGAAAGACTGTAGTAACGATACCCTTTCTACGTGCAGGAGTAACCAAGAAATACACATTTGGTAGCTGGAGGGTCAAGTTTATCAAACCTAGAACCCAAATTGTGAACATAACGAACACATCCAAAAACTTTAGGAGTTAAGAGAAATAAGGCCTTACCAGAAAAAAGGATAGAATATGGACTTTGTCCATTTAACACAGAGGATGGCATACGATTAATAAGGTGACAGGCAGTAAGAACAACATCACTCCAAAAATATCAGAGAATATTCATCTGGAATAACAGGGCACGGGTGCCTTCCAATAAATGACGATTCTAGCATTCAGCAACACCATTTTGTGGGGAGGTGTAAGCACAAGAAGTCTGATGAATAATATCAGTTTTACTAAGATAAGCTAAAAAATTATTAGATTCATATTCCCAAGTATTATCAGAACGTAAGATACGTATACGACAACCATATTGAGTTTTTATTTCCTTCCGAAATGTCTCAAATATAGAGAATAATTCAGACCGATCAGAAACAACCAAGTCACACGAGAATAATCATCCACAAATGACACAAAATAAGAATATTTATTAGATGAAATATTCTTTTATTGAACCTCATACATCAGAATGTACCAACTCAAATAGACTAGACACACGATTATTGACTCTAAATTAAAATAACACACAGTGATGCTTACTAAGTTGATAAGCTTCGCAAGACAAAGACGACAAATAACTAAGAGTAGGAACTTGGCGATTCAGATTCTGGAGAGAGGGATGTTCAAGGCGACAATGCCATTGAAAAGGAGACAATGTGGTCTGTAGGTCTCGAGTAGGTGAATCAAAATCAAAGTAATATAGGTCACCAGTTTCATACCCTGTACCAATCTTCCTCTTCGTCTTGAGATGCTGAAAGACACAATAAAATGGATAAAAATTTACAGAACAATTAAGAGAACGAAAAATCTTGCTAATGAAAAGTAAACTAAAAAAAAATTGAAGAACAAATAACACAGAAGATAGGGACATATCAGGACTCAAGTGAGTAGTCCCTAGACTTGAAACTTTAGAACAAGTACCATTAGCAAGAGTAACACTACGTGTAGAAGTAGCAGACTGATAAGTAAGAAAAATATTAGATATACTAGTCATGTGGTCAGAAGCGCTAGAGTCTATGATCCAGGGACTACGAGTGGAGGATAGTAAACAAGTGGAAGTAGTACCTGACTAGGCAAAAGTAGCCGTGGAGGAAGATGGAACAGCCTGCTGCTAGGACAAAAACTGAACATACTCCTCTCGTGTAATAATAACCGATCCAATATCTGGTAGAGTTGACCGAGGTATGGAAGCAACAACAACAATGTCATCCTGATAGGAAGCCTGATTTGCAGTACTAGAAGGTTTTCCATGTAAATCCCAACAGAAATCAATAGTGTGCCCTCCACGGCCACAGTGAGTACAAGAACGAGATCCACTATGACCCCCACGACCACCTGTATGACCTCTTGTGCGGCCTTCTCGACCACCACGATCACCTCAACGACCATCACTGTGGCTACTAAGGACCAAAAAAATTGAGCGATCAGTGGAGACACTATGGTTAATGCCCAAAGTAGACAAAGTAGCATGCTATACACGAGAGAAAACCTCAAGTAGTGAGGGAAGGCTAGAACCACCCAAAATCTAAAAACGAATAGCCTCATATTCAAGTTTCAGTCCTACCAAAAATTTAACAACATTCATGTTCTCATGTTACTTTTGTCAAACTGCTGCATCAATAGTAAACAGATGGTAGGTCTTCATCTCCTCACAAACTCCCCGAACGTGAAAATAATAATCCTCAATGTGAGTACTCTGTTCCAGCCGAAACTACTCCTTGCACACCTCATAAGCTCAGGTAAAATTGTCTGTACCAGAATACATAGTGGTCAAGTGATCCCATATCTCCTTGGCAGTGTTAAGGTAGAGCAAAGTAGAACTAATATCAGGCTCAATGCTATTCAATAGTAAAGAAATAATTTGAGCATCCTCTTGTTCCCACTGATCATACCCAGGAGTGTCTTCCTTGGGTTTAAGATCCACCAAATATTTCTTAAATCTTTTATCTCGAAGAAAGACTTAAACAGATCGAGACCATAAAATATAATTAGTCCCATTAAGTTTGACAGAGATTATAGGACCATTGATAAGAGTCAGAAGAGGCAAAGATTGAGTAAGGGAACTGGTATCTTGCTTAGGTTCCATAATAGTGCAGCAAATAGCAAACAAGAAGTGTTGCAATGCTGAACCAGAGGAAAAGAGATTGCTAGAAGGCTGAACCGGGCTGGAAAACCAAGCTGGATTGCTGAACAGGACAGATTGAGCACTCTGGACCACTGAACCGGGCTGGAAAAGCTAGTTGGGCTGCTGAACCGAACAAGCTGAGCCCTCTAGATCATTGAACCAGGTTGGAAAAGATAACTGGACCGCTGAACCGGACCGATTTAATTTGCTGGATCACTGAACCAGACCGGTTGGACCTCTTGGACTAGTGAACCTGAGTCAAAGCTGTTTGGACCACAAAAAAACTAGACTGAATCGAGACCAAACTGGGCCTCATAACCAACGACAGATGACAAACTACAACAGCTACACCACAACAGCCACACCACCACCACGACAAACGACACAGACACAGGCCACCACCAACGATCAAAACAGACCACCATCAACGATCAACGCCCAACAGTACCACCACCACAAAAAAAAAAATTTAATTTATTCAGAATAAATATTTATCGCTGCAATGCTCTGATACCATGTTAAGTGTAGAGGATTAACACAATATAAGAGAGAAACAGAAAGAGGTTAAAACTTAACTTAGCTCTCATATATCACTTGTATTTATAGTTAATTCACAATAATAGAAATTACACATACACCCTCTTACTATGAACAACTTACACATACTATTCTAATATTCTTAACAGAGACAAAGAATAAAGAGAGTGTTCTGTAGCAACAAGAATTTTTTGCAGTTTTTTTATCCATCCAAATTCCCTAATAGATTGGCAATTATATGAGATAATCACATTTGGATTGAGTCTTTAGACTGACAAATATGAATCGTGATCCGGATCTTATGTGAAAAAATGTGATTGTGCCTAATAGACCGACAAATTTCAGTTGGGTCAACTTAATAACTAAATGCGCCTAACAAACAAACCCAACAACTAGGATTGATAAAATAGTGATTTGAATTGGGATTCTACAGTTCTATAATATCCGGATCACGATTCATTGAGATCCTATCAATTTGGGATTCTACAAAAAATTCGGATCAATTTGTCTGTTTTAGGTCGTAGGATCGTAAGATCCTATGATCCGAATCGGGATTTTAATAATAGTGGTGGATAGGTGGGCTAGGGCAAATATAAGGAAACACAATGTTTTCTTCTTCTTTTTTTTTTGTTTTGGTTGGAACACAGAGTTAAATATTATGCTTAGTTACCAAGCATAATAGGTCAATTGCATGATGCCCTTGAACATTAGTATAAAAATATCCTCACGAAAATCAACTACTAGCAGCTCATCAGATTATATACGTTTTTGACGGGAAAAAAATACTATTGAGAGTTCAGAATTAAGACCATATCTTCTGTATTTGATGGCAATAAAAATGGGGAACTTTATATACAAGACTTTCTTCACGATTTTTTATCACAAACTAAAACAATAAAGTCACATATATCAATGCTTGTATCATTTCTCCAACTATTAGAGATTGACATATGGGAGAACTAGAAGCTAGAAAGGAGAATAACGGTCCAAGATACATGCCTCCAACAGTTTACTTGTTTAGGACAACAATATACTAGTAGTACTAACATGAATGTATGTATTTTCCACTCGGTTGATTAGAAAATGGAAGTTTAGAAGAAAACAGAATAAAGCAAGGCCATAAGTGAAACCTCTTTCTGCTCCAATCTCCTGTGTTAACTCATACAACTATATGCCCATAGTATTTTGCAAAAGTGTATCTTCCCACTCTTTGGCATCATCAAGTTTCCTGTAATTGTCACCTGCAATTTTGGCAATTTCAAGCTAAGCAATAAAAGGAATGGACCATCAATGATATAGTTGTTGTGTGCAACAAAGATTTTTCTTTTTTTCAATAAGCTTCTTAGACTTGGCCTTTGTCGAAAAAAGTACTGAAATACATGCTAAATGATTAGAACCCAAGGACGTCCCATTCCATAAAAAAGGAAGCTTCACTTTGAAGCTTATTCCATGCTATTTACAACATTATTCCTCAGGAAATATCCTTCTTTGTTCAGTGATGTAAGTGGCTTACTTGTTTCATCCGTTGGATAATCAGATGAATCCATACTCTGCAAGCTCCTCTTAGTCCATCTCTTTTACCAATACAGATGTGGCCTTCCTGAGAAAGAATCACGTATCTACCCATCAAGCTATTGCAATTAGTGAAGCAAAATGAATAGATACAAAACTGGTCCGGAATAAAGCGGAAGGTCAACATTCCAACCAATGCATGTTGTATATAACAGGGTTTTACAAAAAAAGAACACAGGAGATCATATTTGCAGTCATAAGAGCTTATAGTAGCATACTTTAGCATTCGATTCACACTGCTCTACAACAGCACATCTACTGTGGTTTTCATGAAGTTCACGAGAAAGTTCCTCATTGGTAGCCTCGGGCCAAAAAATTCTTTCCTTCAGAACCTAGAAAACTCAGTAAATTGATACCAATCAAATTTAACTAATCTCCCCAAGAAAAGAGGTGCATGCAAGCGCATATGCAAATGCAAAATAGAAAGCATAATACATACCATGTAGTTGCAGCAACAATAATTCAAAAAGAATGTCAAACTGTACAGGCCCTATCTATTCTGTGGTTTTGACAGCCTTAATTCCTCTGTCATTGCATTTCCTAGTGAAAGCTGTCAGGCTAGCCGTTTAGCATATGTTTCCAGGGGTGGGAATCCAACCGAGTCATGGCATGGCATATCGTGCCATGATTGGATGATGTTGTTTCAGGTTCGTGCAAAAGCTAGTCAATCCTAACCAGCACTGAGTTTAATCGTGCCAGATGACCTGACACTAACCCAACCTGCTTATTAATCATGTCGTGTTCTGGTCAATATGCATTAGCCACGAACTAGAAACCTGGGGTTATGATCCCTTTCTCTCAACAAATCCATCATCATAAGCCCCTTGTAAATTAGAAATCAACTGGACCCAGATGCTAGAAAAGATAGTCAATCTTAATATGATACCAGATCAAGAAATGAGAAAAAAAAAAACAAGGAAAAATTCAGGCATTTTTTTCCTATAATATCAGCTAAAAGAGTTTGTCGTGTCAAATTCTAGTTATTCATTTTTAACACTAATTTGACTGATTTACTATTCGTGTTAAAAGATTGTGTCATTTTAGGACCAGTGTCAACTAGTAGTCAACCCTAACTCACTAATTTCTTGTGGTATTCATGCCGTGTCAAAAGTTCTCACCTTTTCAAGCATAAACTTTAATACATTCATATCCATATATAGGCATAAACTTTTCAAGCACAAAAGTTGCCTGCCTGATGTGTGGCTTGAGAAGCGTTAACTTTTATGAATTATTTTATCCTGCCACTTGATAAGATGATTCCCGTATATTTTTGGCCTCCAAAAGATCTTCATCCCTTTTGTTTATTATTTTCCTTGGTCGTTTTGCAAACATCTAAGAACAAGGTAACCATATTGAGCAGCTCATGAACATATAACAGTTGGGCGATGGAAAATGGATAAAGCAGTGTCTACCTGGACAGATTAAAGCAGGGTCTACTGGGACAGATTGTTCATATTTGTAGTTCCCGTTGCCCGGTTCAGTGATCCTTGCTCAAGGCAGGCAGCCATATCTTCCAGTGTACTAACACTAACTTCAGTCAATCCTGCTAGTGCTATATGTCCATTTGATGTTTTTGTATTGGTGACCTCCAAGGGAAAGAAACTTTGCTAGCATGTCCATTAGCATTGACAGTGTCTGATTTGCTATTAGATGTTGAATCCAGCAAGTCCTTCACTTCTTCTTTTAGAATCTATAAAATATTAAACTCTCTAATTAAACCAGGCCATGGCTACATGAGAGTGACGGAGGCCAGCATGGAATGTTGCAAGAAATATACAGCTTAAATTAATTTAAACTTTTTTGTAGAACTGTATCAGCAGCATTACTAGAATCTTAATACCACCCAATCAGCATTTTTAGATGTGATTTAGAGACAAAAATCCAAATAGGTAATGAACCTCAATGAATGACACATGCAACTGAAATTCAGTTTTATGATTCAACATCTCGATGTTATTGAATAGTGGATTCATAACTTGGGGAATGAGTCCTGTTCGACAACTATCTTTCGCTCCTGTCCCCATGGTATATGTTTTCCCAGATCCTGTCTGCTGCAGACATTGAGATGTCAACCGCTCATATGAGAGAAGACAAAAACGGTGTGTTCTACTCAATTGAAGCCATTTACCTGGCCATATGCAAGAACTGTACCATTGTGTCCTTGGAACAAACCATCAACCAGTGGTGCAATGCATTCTTCAAACATGGCAGCTGAGGGAGACCAGTTTCCACCATACAAATGATCAAATGTAAAATAATGTGTGCCTATTTGTGCCTGCATCATCATAAGTGGCAAGCGAAATGAATCATTACAAGAAGATCTGAATTGCAAACAAAAACGAATTGATCTAAAAATGACAAAGTGGCAGAGTGAGGTATGTGAAACAAACTCTAAAGAACAGAGCTTAAGTGTTTTGCAGTAGTTGAGGTAATTTCATTAGTATCTCTGCCAGCCAATCTTAGAACTCCAAATTCGAATATAAAGCAGCAATCAATCTGTCGCTGTATGCAATAGATCTTGTAGTAAATATACATTACTTTCCTCACACAACGACTTTATGGTGAATAGAAACCAACAATTGAAATGGTAATTTGACCCACTATGCCCCAACGTTTGCCTTCCAGCTCCAGGTGAATTCCATTGGTTTGCTAGTGAAAACGTTCATATTCAAAATCAAGTAGATAGATTTTTCAGTCAATATAGCAGATAGTACAACATCACCATCCATTAATATCTGGATTCAATCTGAAGCCTGAAGGTGAATTTGGATGAGGAAGGGGCCAATAAAAGATGGATTAAGTTGTTTGGGTTGGGGCAGCTAAAAACAACTTTAAAATAGGAAAAAAAAGTCATATGAACAAACATAGAACATAATGGTAATAAAAGACTTGGCATTTGCAGTCAACCCTGAACCCCAAACATTTCTTAGGTTATGGTTGTATTTCTTTTATAGCTAGCACAAAACAAACAAATTGCTGTAAGAATTCAGATATAGCAACTGGATGATAGAAACAAGCAAGCAAATATAGAACCCTTCAGTGGCTTTTCTCCAATAGGTTTTAAATCCTGGTGCAAAACTGTGACGCACCAATATTGATGTTAAATTTTCCAAGCCCAGAATCAAAGCGAATTGATATTCTCAAATGGCATAACGACGAAGTAGCCGAACTGCACACCATATATATCCACTAGTTATTACCGGTGCACAGAGTAATAAAAAAAAATAGTCAACAATAAATATATTTATACTCATACCTAAAATCAAATTATAAATATAGAAGAAATTTAAACTCTGATTGTAATTGGGGTGAGCGTTGGTAATGGTGGTGGGCGGCAGTGGTAGTTGTGGGAGACTGTGATGGTTGTGGTGAGTGATAACGATTGTGGTGGTGATGACAGTCTTGGGTGGCAATAGTGATGGTGGTGGTTGGTTCTCGGTGATGATGGTGGTTGTTATAGCCATGGGCGACGACGGTGGTGGTGGTCAACGGTGATAGTGGTTGGTAGTGGTGGTGGGCCAACGACAGTGGTGGTGACGGTGGTTGGTTGTGGTGGCGGATGACAACGGATGCTTCTGAGTGATAATGTGATGGTTGGTGATAATTGACGGTGATGGTGATGGTGGTAGGTGATAGTGGGTGGCGGCAGTGGTGGGGGACGACGGTGGCAACGGTGGTGGGGCGACGGCGGCGACAGTGGTGGTGGGATGGCGACGACAGTGGTGGTAGTGGTGATGGTCGTAGGGGTGATAGTGGGGCAGTGGGAGTAGGGGTAATATTGAGACAGTGGCGGTAGTGGTAAGGTGGTTGCAACGGTGGTAGTGGTGGGGATTATGGTGGTGGTAGGGCGGTGGGTGGCGACGGCAGTAGTGGTGGTGAGGGGGTAGTAGTGATGGTGGTGGTGGGGTGGCGACGATGATTGTTGTGGCAAAGGTGGTGGTGGGATGGTGACAGTGATAATGGTGGTGGTAGTAGAGCTGGGACGATGGGGGTAACGGTGATTGTGATGGGGGTAGTTGTGGAGGTGGGGTGGCGATGGTGGTGGTAGCAGTGATGGTGAGATGACACTATATTTTTTTAAAACACTATAAGTTTTAAAATTATTTTTACATACCATTAGGCTTATTTTTTTATTAAATTTGAGTGTTAATATTAGTAAAATGTAAAGAGATTTCAACCGCGATAAATAAAAGATATTTTATTTATTTTTTAAATTTAAATTGTATTATATTTTATTATACTGATATATACTTACATATAGCCGTGCATGCACAAACATATATGCCGATCGAATCATACAAATTAAACACGAAGAAATTTTGTACCAAGAAAAAAGTTGGTTTAAAATTTCGAACAAATTCAATCGGAAACTTGTATCGAACAAATTCAATCGGAAATTGTCAGTTGTACTTGGTACCTGAGGCTTTCCGGGAACAACGGTTACACACTCTTTACAACTGCCACCTTGACACTACAATCCTCCGATAATGTTTCCATGGTTGGTAGACAAGAGAGAAATAAAATTTTCAAGACGGCATTTATATATCAAATTCAATCAAATTTCTGGGAGGATCCGTCTCGTCATCAGTGATGGGATTGAAAAGAAGAAATTGATGAAGCAAGAGGAAAGGAGAGGAGCGAGCTGATTGTAGAACAGGGAGAGCGAAAGAGAGGAGTTGTGGGTTTTGAGAGACAAAATAGAAAGAAAGATTGAGAGAAGAGGAATTAAGGCAAGTGAAAGGACGTAAAACTGCTTTCACTTTCCTTGTTCTTCACCGCTAAGGATGGCGTGGACAAGAAAAAAAAGAATACTTATTTAAACCAGTCACTTATACGAGTAAATATTGAATATGAATTATTAATAATAAAACGATAAATCCAACTTCGATAATTTTTTGCTTACATGAAATAAAGATAGGTAATTATTTACCTATATGGCTGGTTATTATTTTTTGTGTAATTTTTAGGAGGTGGGAATAGGGATAAAATCAAAATTTATCCGTGCGAGAGGAACGGAGATTAAAACGAACGGTTATTATTCCTCGCCCTCCTCTGAATCACGGTCATACATGCGACGGAAATGAAAATTTAAACTTTTTCGATCGACAAATATTTTTAAAGCAAATATTGAGGTGGAGGCTAATCCTCCAAATCACCGTAATCCCTATTCACTACTACTATCAGTCCCCCCTAACCTAGTCCCAAGATCATTTCTGCCTTGAGTTAACGAATTTTACCTTAATAAATGAATAATTTTAAAAAATTAATCTCAATTATTAATTAATCTTAACAAAAGGATGGATTAAAATAAATTACGAGATTAATACTCAAAAAAATTAATATAATAATATATTAAGTAATGAGTTTCAAGTTATCATCGTAATAACACTACTGAACCATATTACTGTCATATCATTAAATTAATAAATTAGATGAATTTTTTGTATGTCAGTAACATTACTCATAAATTACATTGTACTTGAAAGTTGAGAGGGAAATTTAAAGGCATTTATGAGATTTATCTTAAACTTTGGGTATTATTTCCAAATCAGAAATTGACCTTTTTGTAACGCTCCGGTAAAATGGTCGGATTCCATATTTTAAAATGACGTGTAATTGTTTTTTAGTCCTTCCAAAAAGTAATTGTTTATTAACATTTCGAATTGATTGCATCCAGACCAGATGTACTATGTTTGGACTTGAGTGCGGCATAGAAGAAATAATTTTGGTATCATATCTCTAATTTTTATTATTTTCATAAATATTTTTAAAATTTTTGTAAGTTATTTTATAACTAAAAAATTTATCATTTTTGTGGTTAATTTATTATTTTTATGATATTTTTATTACTGTTGTATATATTTATATTATATTTGTGTAATTATTTTTATTATTTTTTTTAAGTACAAAAAATTTATTATATTTATGAGTATTTTTACTATATTTATGAGTATTTTTTTATCATATTTGTGAATATTTTTATCACTATCGTAATAACTACCACAACACTAATAAAAAAATCACAAATATAATAAAAATAATTAAAAATATGATAAATTAAAGTATGATACCTAATTTTTTTTTTCATAGCGCAGTGAACTCCGTGATATTTATAAAATAACAGAGAGGGATCACTCTTTGATTAGAATCACTGATATCAACAGAAACGACAAAAAACAAGTCAGCTCAAAACTCTCCCAAGAAAAAACAATTAAATAGTTTAATCTAATCATAGCAAAAAAAAAAAAAGANTCAATTATTAATTAATCTTAACAAAAGGATGGATTAAAATAAATTACGAGATTAATACTCAAAAAAATTAATATAATAATATATTAAGTAATGAGTTTCAAGTTATCATCGTAATAACACTACTGAACCATATTACTGTCATATCATTAAATTAATAAATTAGATGAATTTTTTGTATGTCAGTAACATTACTCATAAATTACATTGTACTTGAAAGTTGAGAGGGAAATTTAAAGGCATTTATGAGATTTATCTTAAACTTTGGGTATTATTTCCAAATCAGAAATTGACCTTTTTGTAACGCTCCGGTAAAATGGTCGGATTCCATATTTTAAAATGACGTGTAATTGTTTTTTAGTCCTTCCAAAAAGTAATTGTTTATTAACATTTCGAATTGATTGCATCCAGACCAGATGTACTATGTTTGGACTTGAGTGCGGCATAGAAGAAATAATTTTGGTATCATATCTCTAATTTTTATTATTTTCATAAATATTTTTAAAATTTTTGTAAGTTATTTTATAACTAAAAAATTTATCATTTTTGTGGTTAATTTATTATTTTTATGATATTTTTATTACTGTTGTATATATTTATATTATATTTGTGTAATTATTTTTATTATTTTTTTTAAGTACAAAAAATTTATTATATTTATGAGTATTTTTACTATATTTATGAGTATTTTTTTATCATATTTGTGAATATTTTTATCACTATCGTAATAACTACCACAACACTAATAAAAAAATCACAAATATAATAAAAATAATTAAAAATATGATAAATTAAAGTATGATACCTAATTTTTTTTTTCATAGCGCAGTGAACTCCGTGATATTTATAAAATAACAGAGAGGGATCACTCTTTGATTAGAATCACTGATATCAACAGAAACGACAAAAAACAAGTCAGCTCAAAACTCTCCCAAGAAAAAACAATTAAATAGTTTAATCTAATCATAGCAAAAAAAAAAAAAGAGAGTTTAATCTAACAATTTTTGTTACTAGGAAGATCAATTTGACCGTTGCAACCATTCTTAAACCAAACAAGATTAAACTTGTTATCAAATATACCCCCATCCTACAATTTTTTGCCAAACTTATCCCTTTATGTATGCTCTCTCGTTCTCTCTCTCTCACACACACTATTGAACCCACCATTCTAGTGTTATCAAAATTGGTGAACCGATGGATCAACCCAATAAATCAAACCATACACTAGTACGTTCTAATTTTGTGAAAATAAACAAGAAAAAGCTAATTTCTTGAAATATTTAAAAGAACTTACCAAGTTTAAAAGCAACTCTAAAGAGAGTTGTCATTTTGGAGAGCTGAATCACCCATTTGCAACCTTGTGTTTTGATATCCCTAAATTATAAATTTGTTCTAATAACAAATGTCAAAATGAAATGTTATTTTAATATTTTTTATTACTACCAAATTATTTTAATATATATTAACAGATATAATTTATTAAAAAATATAATTAAACTCATTTATAACCTCTCCCTAAATTGTCAAAATTACCACCCAAAAACATTAATGTTATTTTTCAATCAAATTAATGTTATTTTTCAATTGAAATCAATTTCAACCCTTGATGCCACCCATTTTGTATAAGATTGTCACCCCTCATAGTACCACCCCCTGAAATTACCTTATTGGAGTATAAAATCATCCTTTCTTTCGTATCCAATTTTTCACTAAAATAAACAATTTACCTTATCGGAGTATAAAATCTTCCTTTCGTATCCAATTTTTCACTAAAAGAAACTATTTACCTTATTGGAGTATAAAATCATCCTTTCGTATCCAATTTTTCACTAAAAGAAACTATTTAAACCCAGCCCCGCACCTACCATTGCATAGGACATCCTCTTGGTTAGCTGGGTGAGGCACATTTAAAGAACTGATTTGATTTTGAACGGAGCCACAGCTTTCCCTCTTATAGATGAACAACCCTTGTGTTTTTCTTAAGCCTACCTCTTATGTTTCTTCCATGTTATCACTGGAACTGTTTTTCAATATATGCTTTTGGGACTTTTTGTTGAGGTTATAAATTGTTTAAGAAATTAAGAAATTGTGTATATTTTTTGTGTTTTTATTTAATCTACTATTACATAAAACATGTTATTTTTATAATCATTCTAATTTTTTTAGCAAATCATTCTTGTTAGTAATTATTTTTATTTTTTATTATATGATTGGTCCAACCAGTTGACTCAACGGTTGAACTAGTAATCTATTGATTCGGTCCATTTGTCGGTTCGATCTTCAATCCGATTCTGATAACTATGCTCTATTCTCCACCACCCCCATTTGGCCACCCCACCACATCATTCCTCTCTATCTATCTCTCCCGATGTTAATCTCACCATTATCGGTGCACCAGTAAATTTCACCATGGCCGGCCCAAAAACAAAGGTAGTAAAGTCTGAGTTTTAGGGATCACTTTTAAAGGCTCCAAATTTTATAAGTTTATATTAATAAAAGTTTTTTGGGCGTGGGTACATTTTCTAGACATATTTGAGAGGAAATGTATTGATAAATTTTTTACTCTATTAAGTTCACTTTTACTAAAACATCTTGTAAATTAGGTACAAAATTCAGATGACTTTTTATTTATATTACTTGATTACCCTTTTTTAAATAATACATAATCAAATATGTAAAGTTTTTATTAGATTTTATCATTCATTTGAATTTTAAACATTTATTCTTATTCTCTCTTTCTCTCTCTCCCTCTCCCCCTCTTTGTCACTATCTCTCCCCCTATTCTCTCTCTCCAATGCGTATTCAAGGCATAATTATTCTCTTTCTTTCTCAATCCAAAGTCGGCATTCTTAAAAGTCGTTATATTGATACTCCCAAAAAGATACACCAAAGATATCATGACTGATTAATACTTTATTTCCTTTCAAATATGTTAAAAATTGACATAATTGGATATCAACGTTACACCAAGCAATTACTTCAACATAATTGGATATCAACATCACACCAAACAGTTACACCAATGTTATATTTTTGGTGTTTTTTTTAGTGCATTCATTTTGGTGTATTTTATTGGTTTAATAATGTGGTGATACTGAATGATGTAATATTTGCTTAACAACTGAATGATGCATTGATTATGGTGTCGTCATTTCGTGTTTTTATTTGATGTAACTTTTTGGATTATTAGAATGCATATGTAACTCTATGGTGTATCATAGC